AAGAAGAAGAAGAAGAAAAGAAATGCAATACCAATCTGGGCAACACCAGGAGCTTCATCTCTACAAAATGAAAAAAATAAAAATTAACTGGTGTGGCGGCCCACACCAATAGTCCTAGGTACTTGGGACACTGAGGTGGAAGGATCGCTTGAGCCCAAGAGTTGGAGGTTGCAGTAAGCTATAAATCTCTTAAAAAAAGAAAAGAGGCTCAGCACTTGTGGCTCAGGCGGCTAAGGCACTGGCCACATACACCAGAGCTGGAGGGTTTGAGTCTAGCCCTGGCTCACCGAACAACGATGGCTGCAACCAAGAAATAGCTGGGTGTTGTGGTGGGCACCTATGGTCCTAGCTACTTGGGAGGCAGAGGCAGGAGAATCACTTGAGCCCAGGAGTTGGAGGTTGCTGCGAGCTGTGATGCCACAGCACTCTACCCAGGGCAACAGCTTGAGGCTCTGTCTCAAAAAAAAAAGAAAAAGAAAAGAAATGTCCAGAGAATTCAAACTAAAACCAAATCAAACCAACTGTGCTCATGCACAAAGAGCAAAACTAAGACATAAAGCCTAAAGAGCTGGCTAATAACAATCATGTATTCTAGGTTTCTGTAAGGATAAGGTTTTATACATACATACATACATACATACATACATACATATATCTACACGTAATGTGTGTCAAGGGGATTGTTAAATTGTCTTGTGATGGCTTAACATTTTGTTTTTTTCTAAGAAAGTGAAATATGTCTGAATGCATATGACAATTTGACTATATGTATAATTCTTTGCTGATCAATGTCAAAAATTCCTGGGCCTGAGATTTTTTGGTGTGAACCAAACTAAACAGAATTCTATCTGTTCTTTCAAAGAGAAACAGAGGTGGCTGAAAATCTTGCCAAGGAATCTCACCCTTCCCACTTTCCTAATGATTCTCCCCCATCCCCATTGGGATATGTTCCTTGATTAGGGGATGTTTCTTCAAAACAAGCTACTCCACAGTAATAAACTTGCTCCTGGGGAGAGGCTCAACCACCATAGATTTACCCAACAAACTAGTGGTGGAGAGACAGGGTCCAGCTGTAAGGTGAATCATGTTTGTAAAGCAATGGGAGTTCTCCAGAGGGTGGTTACTAAACAAACAATGTCATAAAAGAATACTGAAGCTCCAGAAGGGACCTTTCTGTTCCTGCCAACATTCCACTGAAAACAGAAGATAGGGGTTTCGGTTTTTATCCATCCAAGAATCTTCCTTGAAGCTGGGGGTTCCCAGCATGGTGTAGAGACCAACTAGACCAGCTGGTATGTTTGTAAGTGGCCAAGCCTTTTATCAGCTGAGACCCACATGAAAGCTCAGGGGTTACCGAGGGGGCTTGGTAAACTCTTGTCATTGGCACTCAGTCAGCCTCTTTTTCATGCCTCTGATCTCCCTACTGGCAGCAAAGGAAATGAAGCTCAGGTTTGGTTGTTACAGTCTCATCTTTCTCACCTCCTGACCCTCCTCCCTAGGCCCCATCATGGCTTTTATACAATGCCAAGAGTTCACAGAGTGGTTTTGGTTGCATCTTGTGAATTAGGCTCTTTTTTCCTGTTTTGGCAGAGTTTGTTTTTCTCCTGTCTGAACAATGGTGTCTGGAGAAATCTGCGAGCTACCAGGCTGTAGAAATCCTAGAAAGGTAAACCCCTGAGCATAAGGCCTTTGTGAGTGGTGCTTCTCAGAATGGCTAATATACCTAAA